TTTCCCTTCTTGTACACTGTGGTTAACTAAAGAAATCACTGAAGAACACCAGCAAATTTTAAGGTCTTCCAGTATAAGTTACTGTTTCTGTAATTAAGGCAGAACTGAGTGCAGCAGCTGATAGGAAAATATTAACAAACATGGGCTCTGATCTCTGAAGTCTAGATGTAAAGCTTGAAAATTGTGGAGGAAGTGCAACTTTTGATATGTTCCTTTTTTCTGAGTTTTCTAATGTGCTAAGCTGGCTGAGGATGTTGTTGTGTGTTGAAGGGGAAACATGCTGACCTTGTGTTTACTGTCTGTATTTAATTCACAAAGTTTGGTAACTTCTGCAAAATGATGAGATTTTGAAGATGATGGTAGATAACTGTTCTTGGTCTATAGTTTACAGACTGGTAATAGCGACAAAAAAGTTTTTCGCATGTTGACGTTCTGTAAGCTAATGGAACAGAAGACTTTCACAAAAGAGCTTAGAAAAGTATAATGACACAGCACAACTCATTCACAGATAGCAAGGGAGAAGAGGCTTTACCCAAAAGAAATAAAATAGCACAACATAGTCATTGTCTTCTAGAGAATAACTTTCAATGTTGTAGTTAAATATATGTGGACTTTATTTTAGTGGTTTTTTTTGTTAGTGATGTTTTGTGCCTTTATTCCACACTGGGTAGTGCAAATCTCACACAAGAAGCTACGCAGAGATTGTCCAGGCAGCTTGCATTGCTGTGACTGGTGCTGTCATACTTGAGCTAGCTTTAGCCGCTAGCTTTTGTACTACCTCATTGACCTGCAGTCACAGTAGCAGTTGTAAATCTACGCCAATCTGCAACCCACTGCGCTTTCTTAACTTAGGGTTGTTCTTGGGTTTCTGCATGGAGAACTGAATTTAGGAATTGTCGGTCCATCCTTGAAAACATGATCTACATATTGTTCAGGTACAGGAAAGTACAAGTCTTACCTAGTCTTTACCTTTGTGCCACTTTTACATAGCTTTAAGCTTTACCACATAAAATAAAGCAAGATTAACATCTGAATACTCTGCAGAAGAATCTTTGCAGCTCTACTGTTTTAACATGGGCCCACCTGCAAATCATACTTTGTGTTAGCTGATGCAATAAAATTGTTAATAGTGGCCTGTAATATAATACATTCCAGTTCTTAATCGATACCCAAAAGATAGTTAATTTAAGATTCTTGATGTAGTATTCTGTTGGTGTGAGTGGTTAAAACTAAAAATTTTGTCACAATTCTAGGAGTGACATTTGTTTAATTAATCCTATTTGGTCAACTAAATATCAGTCTCTGAGTAGCCCCTATGCAATTGATGCATCAGGATGAAAGTGTCACTTTGATTTTAAAATACGGTGCAATTAGATTCTTCATCTGTTCCTCTTAAAAAGCTACAGATTTAAAAACAAAACAAACAACCCCACCAACCTGTGGAATTCTGAGTTGAGGTCTGTACAATGCTGGTTGAACCAATGCAGATGATGTAATAAGAACTATTTTTCTTCTGTGTCAACTTTTTCTCCTGTCACACTTTAAAGGTGAAAATTTTAGGACAGAACTTTCCCAAGACCTTGCTTTTCTCTCTCTTTTTTTTTTTTTTT